CCGGCCGCTTCATCCCACCGAGGTGCAAACCCGCCCAAGCGCCTTTTTCTCACTCTGTTCCCCATCCTTCGGTCTGGCCGGAGGAAAAGCCGGGCTTGACACTCAGTACAAGCTATATGTGCCGTGCACCAGCCACAACGGCTTGCTCGTCTATCTAAGGGCTGGCTCGGAATGCTCCCTCCCCTTTTTTTCCATTAATGATATCCATGGAAGTATTCCCATCTCTGAAAGTGTTCAAGTCCAGGCTGGACAGGGCTTGGTCTAGTGGAAGGTGTCCCTGCCTTTGGCAGGGGATTGGAATAAGATCAGTTTTAAGGTCTCTTCTGACCCAAGCCATTCTGTGATTCCATGATTTTATAATATTAATTAGTATTAAAGCTGCTCTCAGTTCCCACAACCCAGACACCCATGAGTTCATCAATCACCTAAATCAGGAGGATGGAGCAGGCATTGATTTTGTTGCATCATTCCCTCGGTCTCTCCATCCCCACTCTCACTCCTGCTCTTCCGTTTGACTTCAGGCATATTCCAGACCTTGGGGAGTGAGCAATTAATGGCAGCAGCAACATTTCACTTTCCAGATGGCCAGCCTGGCTTTAACAGACATTTCTCCCTTTTTTCTTCTCTGTTCATGAAAAATGAGTGTGGATCCCAACCCCAATCCCAGCTTGCAGGAAATAATTTCATTTCTGAAATCTAAAGACAATCTCTGCAGATTAAAATGATGGAACAGCTGTGAAGTGATAGAACAAAGTGACAGAGGGAGAGGGAATCGGCCCATATCCTCCCATTCCCCCCTGTCCAAGGGAAAATTATATCTTAAGAAGAAAACAGATTAAAAAATAATGTATTTTCCTTGGATGAGAATCTGGTCAGCAGTTTGGCAGTGACTGCTGCTGTTAAGGACAGCAACACCCTTTTAGAGGTGACAAAAGGGGACCTTTTGTCCTGGCAAAGGCTCTCCTGGCAGAGCAGAGACCCTTGAACGATGCTAGCAGTTCCTTTGAGTTCATCCAAATGTGCAAATTGCCACTGGGATGGGTAGATCCCTTCAAGGTGCCATTTGGCACAACTCCAGTGTCACCCACAGCATCCCCCACCACACAGGTGCCCCTGTGGCTGCTGCTCACCCCCAGCTGGCAGCTCAGGAGTCCTCCCAGCTGTTTGAAGTGATGACTTTTCACACCAATCTGCCGCTCCCCCTGAGCATTTTCCCATGGAAAACCCACGGAAAATGAATTTTAACCCACAATGAACTGCCACAGCCTACTTAAAAATAGGCTGGGAGCCAATGTCCCATTGCCAACAGCATGGTCATGTTCCAGCTGTCAGTCTGGGTGAAAAGAGGGACAGGGAGAAGGAAAAGCATCCCGCTTGTGTCCTTGAGTGCTGGGCAGGTCTGAGCCTTGGATGGGTGCAGAGCAGACTTCGGATGTGGCTGGTCCTGGGAGCTTTGCTCACTCCAGATTTCTCTCTCAGCATCCATTAACAATAAGAGACTGGAAGTCAGGACCGATTTTTTCCAGCTGGGTTAGATGGGTCAGCTCCCACGGAGCCTCCCTGTCTGAGGAACTAAGAGCAAACAGCTCCTGATGAGCAGAAGTGCTTGGCCAAGGCAACTAGGTGAAAACGAGCACGCCGTTCCTGGCAGTGCTTTGGGTCTGGTCCCTCGGGATGCTCACTCACCAGGAGATGGATGTACCCCACGGAGGGGGACCATGAGGTTGAGTTTTGCAGCCTCTTGCAGCCCAGGTGTTTTAGGGATAGAGTGAAAGGGAAAGGAAAGGACCTCCAACAAGGTTTTGCATCTCTCCCATCCCTTTGCCTTTTCTTGGAGAGGCTAGTGTCCCACCTGGAGGTAGAGATGAGGGGACAACCAGAGGGTGCAATGAGATGGTAAATGATGCTTCAAGGTTTGAAGCATGATTTCCCTGTTTGCTTTTCCTTGGGCAGCTGAACTGTTCCTTATCCCTGAAATATATTCAAGTAAGGATGAGTCATCCATCCTCACAGGACTCTAACCTGTCGTAATGAGATGTAAATCCTTGCATGACCTATTATATTAGCTTATGCTATATCACACATCTCCATGGATTAGACGGGAGGGAGATGAGACAACCCCCCATCGCAGCCTCAGACAAGCCGGCGGAAGTTAAGAGGATCCTCTCTCAGCGTTGACACCTGATTTAAATTGGATGCAAGCAGTTCCCTCTGCCATGGTGAGAGGGATCATTCCAGCTTGTCTTTCCACATAACTGGCCCCAAAGGCACAGTTACCACAGCTAGGGTTTTATATGGTGCTCCAGAGATCCCTGAATGGCCCTGGAGTGGCTGGTTCCTGGAGTGATCCCACAGATTGTGGAGAGGAGTGGAAGGCTTGGTGACCTTGAGCTGCAGTGCCATGGTAATACGGTCATCAAAAGGCCTATCTGATCCTTGTCAGCCTAAAATCCAGGAAAACATAAAGGTTTAAACCTTTGAAGACCCTGAGCAGGTGAAGGAATCCTGGAAAGCTACTTGTGTGTGTGCTGGAGCCGTAATGGGGAGGAAAGGAGAAGGCATTTCCAAAGAAAGCAGGCAGCCTGCTGCTGGGGGAAGTCACACCAGTGCTCAGCAGCTGATTGTCACTTCTGGTGATGGGGACAGGCACTGCCACCACAGGGACCACTGCACTCAGCCCTGACCCCGGGTGCAGGGGTAGAGTCACCTACTCTCTTCCCACCTGCTAATGGGGTGCTCCAATGGGATGGGGACAGGGATACCCTGCTGTGCCCCTCACTGCTCTGGGCACAGGGATTAGGCAGGGTGACATCTATCCAGATGGTTCCAGTGCTGTTATGGACCACCAGCTCCCAAGAGTTCAGGGTCTTGAGCAAAACATCCCTTCAGAGGGCTATGGGATCCCTTCTAGGAGATCTCTTACTGGGATCAAAGTGCTACCATGTCACTGACAGAGGGAATAAAGAAAGTTTAGGATAAGGGTCTTGTAAAATACAAAATAAAATGAATTCCTGGCATGTTACTTGAACAGAGTTCCATAAAGCTGGACTTTGCCTTGGCTGAGGAAGATGGACAGCAGCACAGCAGGAAGCTTGGTATGAAAATGAAACCAAAGCTGCCTTTTCCTGACCTAGGGAGGCTGTTCCCATGGAAAGCTTTCCATCTCCTATAGAACCAAGTTCCCAAAATCTGTTGTCATCATCAAAGGATGAAAAAAATCTCAGTGCACACACCTCCTCACCCTCTGCCTGCCCTGGCAGAGCATCCCCTGGGAACCCCCGAGTGGCTCCTGGGAAGGGAAGCCAGGAATGGGGATGCTGTTGGGATGTCCCCCCCAATTCCTTTAGAATCCCCTGGTCTCATTGTCGTGTCAGTGAGCATGGGGCTGCCCAGACTCATCATTGCTGGGTTTTGGGAGGTTTGGGGTGGGAATGGTCCTATCATACAGGACATACATCCTGAGGGATATGGGTTTGGGGTGGGAATGGTCCTGTCATATGGGACATACAGCCCCTGTCCCAAGGGATGGGGTGTTTGGGGGTGCTGTGAGTGCTTTAGCAGAAGAGGAGGGGAAGAAAGTCACAGCAGAGAGCCGAGTGGTTGCCTATCCTACTGGGAGAAGGGATGCTGTGGGGGGTGAGGAAGAAGAGGTGGTTGGGATGAAGGGGGGGCTCCCATGGCAGTGTCTGCACCGAGCGGTGACACAAATCCACCCGGACAGACATACAGAGCATGTAAACAGGCACATGGGGAGACCATGTGCTGCTTCGTGCCGGTGGTGGAGAGCAAGCCTGGAGCAAAGGCACACGCCAGCTGAAACACACACACGGCCACACACGCACGCAGCATTCCCACGGGGGATCTTCCCAGCCTTGCCTTCATTTCCTGGAGTGCTCAGAAGATAAAAAAAAAAACCAAACAA